TTTGTGCTTGGTTTAGCACAAAAACTGAGCCGACATCTTGAAAGACCACCAATTAACACTTTCTTATCTCCTGTGTTAAATCTGCACAAATAGCAACGTGTAAAAAGCTGCTTGTACAAAGTGTACAGTGAAAATATACACAGCAAACTCCTGCATGTAGTTTAGTATATGATCGCAGATTTACCTGGAAAGTAGAAAACAGTTACACAAAAGAAAAAACTCTTTGTGTAAAAGTTTTAGTTTTTGTCAGTATTTCTTAAAGTTTACTTACAACTATGAGTAGTTTAAAGTCTGGAATCTTACGCTAGTTGGCCGAATGCAGTTTTAATCACTGAGCCAAAAATAATGAGCGACTGCCAGCTAGTATGTTACATTTTCTTACTTAGTTTGCCAAATATTAACCTTTTTGACACAATATAAGCATGTGAGAGATACCATATTTCTCCATATTAGTACTGATTACTCCTATTAAGAAAGACTGTGAGTCCTGTAAATCTCATTAGCGTCTGAATAGCCCTTTTAGCTCTGTGATTGAAACTTCACTTCTGAGAGTTTTTCAGCCTCCTTTGTAGAAAATCTCGTACGGACAAAAGGATAGCTCTTTCATTTACTTTTTAATCAAAGATTCAGACGTCTTCAGATGCTTCAGAACGTATTTTGTCCTGATGATTCAATTCATCCAAGCTGGACACTGATTAGTGAGGTCTTACCCCTCAGAAGCCTCGAACATTTGAAACAGCTCCAGGTTACTTTGGAGAAAAATCAACAGAAGATGCTTAATGATGCGGAGTTCAGGTCAAATAAATACACCATTCTACCTTGACCACTGCCATTGATAATTCCTTTGTAATGCTAAAACCCAGTCTTCCTACAAACGCATCTTGCATATTGGTTCCTTTGTGATGAAAATAAGTATAAGGAATATATATAAAGTAAAAACATGATCAGAATAGATCATCTAAAAGTGCACCCTGGCCAAAAGTGCCTTATCAAAGATAGCCCTTCATCTTTAGAGGGTAGATACGGTTGGATATGACTGAATCTGCTGCAGGCATGGATCTACAACAGCAAACCGGAATGGTCAGTGCTCCCCTAACAGTTGCTGGGAGCCGTGGGGGCTCACGGAGCCGTGGCAGTGTTGCGCTCTGACGCTGAGGGGCGCAGTTCCCCGCCAGGTGCGTTTTCCTCCCTCCCGCACCTTCCCATCCCGCCGCTTCTGGCTGCTGTAGCCCACTCCTCCTTATTCGCAGGGAGAGCCGAGACTTGATGCGCATAATAAATCATCTCTGCAAGATTCCCCGTCCAAGCCCAGTCTCAGACCGCGGCGTGCTGGATTTGAGAGCGTAAACAGAGGCCAGATCCGAGTCTCAGAACAGGGGAGATGTTTTACATGTGATTTCGGCACAGCAAACAACGTGGGTGTTGTGTGTTTTCTTTTTTTTTTCTTTTTTTTCTTTTTTTTCTTTTGGGAGTGGAGGGGAAGGTGGTGGGCAGCGATATGAGACGCGCGTGTTTGTGCCTCATGCGTTTCCCGTTATCTGTGACTGGGGCACGGGCTCTATTTCACCTGTATGAACGACCTTGCAATTGTGACCGAAATTTTCCTAACGAGCTTTCCGTGGAGGATCAGTCTGCCGTTTTTTCTGTGAAGGCTGAATTTGACTCCCTCTGGTCTCCAGATATTTCAGGATAGGAGGTAAGGCAGCATAGCCCATATTTTGATAATGGAGCATGGGCGCGCTGTGCAGCTTTATTCTAATCTAGCTCAATTATTTACTATTAAGATCTAACTGATTTATCGTGGGGACACTTCTTAGAGGCTTGCACGTCGGCCTCTTGCTGTTTAGAACTGACCCACCGATGACATGTCATGTATTTCAAATTAATTGTTTATTTCAGATTGGAACAACGTGATGTTCCTGGTGCCAGTTCCTCTAGGCTGAGTTGCATTTGCATTCAGAAAGAGAACAGCTTTTAGTATTTTCTTCATGATAATGAGATGTTTGTTGCTCAACCATGCCTTCCTTTGTCAAAGTGATGAAGGGATGCAGTTAGAGTCACATGCTGGTATTCCAGCCCCTGGTTCCTGCTTCACCGACCGTAAAGTCACACTGCAGCCATGCTTCACACACCAGTGTGAAACGTATTAACCCACGAGGCACAGCCTAAACATTTGGGTCCGCTTTCAGGTAAACTTGATGAGGAATAAATCGATCGTACGCTCAAGTGTTGTGAGTGGTGCTGTCTCAGAGACGTTTGAAGGCAAAAATATATTGAGTAAACCTTGGGAAGTATTTCAGAGGGAGTGTGGAGCGTGATAAAAGATGCTGACACAAACGCATACACACCTCACTTCTACCTTGCAACATTCTCCAGGTAATTGCATACTTGTGTGCCACAGTGTCAGCTTGAATATCTCTGATGAATGCAGCACAGGCCTTCAAACAAAGTGCACTCCTACTCTTCCAGCTGGGCAATTTGCTCAACAGTGTGTCACTTGGATGCAGACGGAGTGTGATGGAGGTGGTAGTTACAGTGTTGTTTATACATTATGGTGTTGTATCATTTAACCCGGTGTTGGGTTCACAAAGATGCCTGCTTGATTGAGAATGAATGCAATTCACCCTGTGGAGCTTCCTCTCCACCTTCTACCACCATTATCCTGGAGAGCAAGCTGAGAGTTTGCATATGAGTGCGTGTGTGTGCGCGTGGGTGGTTGAGAAAAGCTTATGCGCTTGTATCGGTGAGCGCTGGTGTATGTTTGGGAAACAACTTTGTCGGGAGCGTGTACGGATATATACACAAACACAAATTTGTAACTGTAATTTGCATTTGTAAATGATTGATTAGATCTATATTTAAAAAGGGGAACACGTTGCATAATTCATTACTCGATGCCATTTCTGGCAAACCTCTATTGCAAATGCAAACCATAACATGCAAAGTCGACAAGAGGGTTGATGCCCAGTGCACCATCCACACACCAATCCTCAGTCCTGAGGTGCTGGCAGTTTGCACACTGTGAGCCTATCACTGAGGTATATGGGTGCAGGACTATTCTGGAGAGAAAGCGTACCAATCCAATTTTGCAGACTTTGAGGGGAGAAAAAAGACCGAGCAAACATGAAAGGTAGAGAAGAAAATCCTGGCTGAGACCCCACATGTCTGATTTGACATCCAGGCAGCTGACAAACAATTAGGCCCTCCATAAGTAGTGCTCTGAACCAGACTCGCCTCGGGATTAGGCCACAAATGAGCCGCACATCACGGCTTATGTCTCCTAAATGGAAAGTGAATGAGTGAGTGTGTGTGTGTGTGTGTGTGTTTGTGTGTGTGAGTCTGTGTGGAGGCTGGCTGTAATACTGTATGTGTTATACACTGTTAGAAAGCAAGTTTGGTGTGTAGGTGTGTGTGGGTAGTGTGACATTCAGCAGATGGATGATATTATCTGTCCCTGGCCTTATCTTGAACAGCTCTTGAGGAAATTTTGTGTGTTCCTCTCAGCTTATTCATGCGCACGCCTTCATGCAGGTGCAAGCTAATGTACGCAAATCTGCACATGCTGCACTGCTCACTTAACTGCTGTCCTATTACCGCTTCTCCATTGTATGTATGTTTGACATTTCATAATTGCATCATTACTTGCTCGGTGCGGTGCAATTTGCAACACATGCTGCAAGCAGACAGACTCCCGCCCTTGATTATGGACCTGAGTGAAACGGTTTCCTCATCAGGCTGTCTTGATTCACCCCAGCATGTGGGGAGACACATGCTGCTGTGGGTGAATCTAATTGATTGGATGGCACCCAATTCTCAGGTCCAAGTCTCCTCAGGCAGCCGGAGAGTGAATCCGTCCAAGTGAAGGATGAGTTTAGGCGTTGGTTGCGCCCGTAATAGACCGGCGTGGACTTCTTCTCATACGCTTCTGGTAGCACCCTGAGACATCTCTAAGGGCACACTGACCACAGCACAAAGCACAAAGTGATAGAAAGTGGCTAGAAATGTGAGAATTCACCAAAGAAGTTGGGCTAATCTGACACCAAGCAGCACTTTCAGTTTCATTTGAAACATGTTCTCTCTATGAAAAATTCCACATCTTGCCTTATCGTCCCTTAATGTGTTATTAAAAGCCATAATATTTAAAACAGTTGGGAATTTGAGTATTTAACCGCAACGTTTTCCTTTCAACAGGTCACGCTCCTCTCCCTCTGAGAACGCAAGTGCCATTTTAAAGCTTATTGGATGAAAGTCTCATTTACCCTTGGCTGCCAAAGATGACGCTGCCATGGAAACAGATTCTGCTGTTATCAATCATCGACTGTCTGACAGGTAAAGCACCTTTTTATATGAGTAATGATTTTTTTTTTCTTCACATTTGGACATTCGACAAGAGATGTCAGAGATGATAGGAGGCCCAGGTTTAAAGGGGCACTCCTGAGTATTGACTTCCATTCACACCACAGACACAATACTCCATCCATCTTCTGCCTCGCTCCTCTGTGTTTTTGACCTGATGATGAGATATGATGCATCTTTTTCTTGAAAAAACACAAAGCAAAGGCTTTCCTGTCTAGCAAAAAAATTGTACACGTTGATACATTTCAGAATGTTTCTGTTCACATAATACAAACTGTATTATGCCAGTGATACAGTTTGTACTAAATAAATATACAGGCATACATATATATGTATATACATATAACTGGCCTATTTCCATGTGAAAATGTAGCTGATTTTTAATCTATCTTTTAATCTTGTCTATAAAACTTTTACGACGAAGTTTTGTATGTTCAGTAACACTTGAATTTCAAACTTTGCTTGTGTTCATT